CTCTGGTAGAAAAGCATGGAACTCGGGTAGCACAATATTTAAATAATTGAGGATAACACCCAAAGGCAGTTTTAAAACACAAAGATGAGTTAATCTCCGTGATCTCGGTTTCCCTGATGCGGGGCTTCGCAAGGGCCACATGCTCACCACATGCGTGAGCGACACCCGAGCCGCTGTGAGAACCCGCGGCAGCTGAAGGTTGAAGGGAGCCGCTCCCACGTGCACGTTTTACAATGTGACTGATTTTGGCATCAGATCTCGAGTAACAAGAGATGGTGAAGCCACCTGCTTTTACTCTCTTTTTGCTACCAAAGGGGTCAAAACCACTGGGGAGAACAGAAGGCTTCAGCGAACCGTGAATGGACTCGTATTTGTTCAGAAATCAGCAGTGATGTTTACGTCCTGCTGCGCCTGTGTGTGAAATCACATCCCTGGCTTAAAAACGGAAGCAGAAGGAAAGCGTCAAAATTGAAGCAGCAGTCACAAACTTGATTTCTCTCATTTTACAGCCAAGCTGGCCATCACCAGGGACCCTGGCTCGCCCCAGGACAAACTGCCTGACAAAACTGGGCTGCACGCCGGCCACCAGCTCCACCGTTCTTCCTCTCCCTGACCTAGGACTTAACATGTCCGGAATATCTCTCGTTCCCAGAGACTAAGCTCAGGTCCGCCTAACACCGAGGGTATCTTGTGGCTTTATGGATCAATTTTCAAGATAACGCTGCTGCTCATGGAGAGCCCCGAACCGCACCATTAAAAGCTTCTTCCGCAAGACAAGGGCAGAACACGCAGCGCCCCGCTGGGTCTGTACTCGAGGGGTTTTAACACGTTTGTTCTCCTTCGAAGTTGTGTCAAGGATCAAATAAAAGCAGGTAAACGGTACTTGGGAGAAGCTCGTCTGCCAGTTGCTTTGCAGTTTGGATCCAAGGCCTGACTTCCTGACCTTGCAAAGAACCCCGGAGTTGTGAAAGTGATTTTGGTATTTTTCCTCATTGTTTTGTGAGTCCGTGCTGTGGACGTTCGTTACCTCTACCTAGTCGTTGCATATTTGAAGCTGTAACTAAATTATCCCTGAAATTTGCAAGCGTTTATCAGCTGAAATCTGTGGCTACAAGTTTTTGTCCGATTCCAGGAGAAGCCCGCGCGGGGCGGGTGTGCTCCCATCGGGTGGCACCAAGCTGTGACAAAGGGAGAAGTTGCAAATCTCCAAGCAGAGAGTAAGGAATTGGGGGAAAAACTGAGCTTCCTGAGGTGATCCTGAAACAGTGACACAGAACCCACTGCTTAGTGAAACAGAACACGCGCTAGGCAGACCTTTTCACAAACATAAATAGGAAAAAAAGACTTTTTTTCAAGAAAAAAAAAAGAGAACAAGAATTCAGAGCTTTCCAGTGTCATAGCTCACAGAAAATTTTTAAAAAAAATAATAAAATCATGCTTAAGTTTTCAAATATTCCTCAGACACAGCAAACCTATATAGTATTCAGTTAAATAAATGTATGAGATATTCCGGGAAATGGAGGTAAGAGTAAAAGCTTTAAACTAAAAGAGGAAGGAAAATTTTGTTTCAATAAACAGCACTTTTTTTTTTTTTTATACACAACAAGCTAGTACAAGGAAAGGCTAAAAACACTGCTTTAGGAATGGCCATTACTGTTGGCATGAAGCGTAGCTTACCCTTTTTTTTAAATAACACAGTGGATTTGAAATACATCATTTACAAAACACGGATTGATTTATTATTCAAATTTCGTTAGTGTTGTCAATCTCATAATTTAGCAGAGGTGGAACTGAGGTATACCTGGTTGAGGGAGGTTAAGTAATACTTGGAAGCCTCTTCGCTATATCCCACTCGATTACTTTTCGTTTATGTACACGGAACAGCAGCACACTAAACATTCACAAGCTGTGTCATATTGGCATTACAATAGTCATTTTTATAAACAACAGCAAATGCAATAAAAACAAGTTACCCTTTTTTTTCTTTTTTCTTTTTTTTTAAATCGGAAATGAAATGTTTGATTTAAAAAAAATAACAGTAGTTCATTTAAAGGAATTAGTCTCTTTCGACAAGTATTAAGAAATCTGATGTCAGTTTTTAAAACGCTCGATTAGCCGGCACACGTCCGTAATTCTTCATTTAAAGTTCCTTAACGGCGCGTTTAGCGTTTTCTCAGTCACGCGCGTCCTTCAGGCGTAAGCAGGGAATGCAAAAAGTCTCACGGATCCACGTTCGGGAGGAGGAAGGAGGGAAAATAAAAAGGAAAAAACACCTCTTGGCGCTGTTCCGGAGAGACTTACCGTGCTTTCTTCACGCAGAAACAGGAACGGCGCGAGCAGTCCCGTTCGCTTTAGCAGCTCCAGTGCAGAGTCCTGGCGGTCAGGTCCATGACCAGTGCAACTATCATAGACTGGATTCTTTGGGAGGAAAGTCAACGTTTGTCACCATTGTGACCACAGTCACGATGTCCTCTGTGGTTATAATGTTAGTTAGTTTTTGCATCTGAATAATGCGCTCTTCTACGCAACCTGCTGACAGCCTGGCTTCCGCGTCGTGATCCCAGCACTCCTCTATCGTTTCGCAGAGCATCGCCATCCCCTGCGAGCACACAGAGCCAGGGGAAAAAAGATAAGTAACAGTGTGTGGGGCTAGCAGCGAGCTGTCTGAGGGTGGGGTTACAGCAAATTGCACTTTAAGTGACGCCTGCCAAATGTTGGCCCTGCTGCCAAACCGGCCACAAGGCTGGGTCTGTTCTGGAACCCAGCGTGTCATATCTTGCTTCTTTGGGACTGTTTAAACGACACACACAGCAGCGAGCAAATCCTTCCTGCCGTAACACACTGGTAAGGTCATCACGTATCTGAAAAGACTTCACACGGAACGTTCTTCCGTGATCAAATGGAGCTTCCATGGAAAAAAATAAAAGAAGAAATCCAACAGCACAAAAGGGGGTTTATACTGGGCAGCAGGTAACTTTCCTCCAAAGTAACCCAGAGCTAATGCAGCAAGATGCTAATTAGGAAGAGCAGATGGCAACACTCATTTTTCTTGCAGACAGCGTCAGCTTTTGTTTCTAACAACTCTTTTTCCGAAATCAAACCAGCCCAAGCAGGCACTGGGAAGGAGCGGAGGCATCACCCCAGGCCTGTAGCCGCAGACCCGATCAGGAAGGCGTGCGGTTCCTCCCTCACCCGTCCCAGGGATTTCTCATGCAGCGCTGCCTGTCCTGTGTTACTACGTTCACTTCGTACTGTTCCCGCAGTAAACCAAGGCTACTACTTCTTAAATATAACTTGAACATCTGCATTCAAAGTAACTCAAGAATCTCACCCCAAAGTGGAAAAAAAAATATCGCTCGCTTTCAAACCACTCAAGATGAGAGAGAATATTTTAAGAACACGCTGGCTTGCACTCCATTTAGTTCTTACTACAATCACTAAATACTTCCTAAAAGACAGTTATTAAGAATGCAACACAAGATTAACAAAAATTTTGAATTTCAAGTCGTGACAGAACTTTGAAGGATGTGGCTGCGTAACTACTTACAGAATGTTTTTGCCAGCACTCTCTTAAAACAGGTCTCTTCTTTTTGTGGACTACAACCTCCTGCATATCTTCGAGGGAGGGATGCTGCCCAATTTCTTCTTCAAATGGCAACATGTACTCATCTACTGGGCCTATAGACAAAAAAAAGAAAGTTAAACCTCCAGTTTTGCCTTTTTTTTAAAAAAAGGGGAAATAAATAGGACCGGTATGTTTGCAAGGTAGTCCATAATCAGGATCCTAATGAGCTACACAGAGCTGTGACTGGGGAAGGAAGGCGGCTTCTCTTCACTGATGTCTCTGCTTTACTTGCTGGAATTACAACCACACACGCCAGAGGACACGTTTCTACAACGACTCAGGTCCGTGTGTTTCTACAGCACACTGAGGCATGAAAAAATCAACAAGGAACGCAGGACGACCTCAGAGATTCACGCAAGACTGTGTTGATCCTGTTCGTAAACAGCTTAACATTTTTAAAAGGGTAAAACCTCCCCAGTGGCTTCTTCTCTGTGAGGAACGTCTGAAGCAGAAAAGCACTTGCTTGGAGCAGAAAAGCGTGATGTGGCCACGGGCTCCGGTACACCTCGGCTTTTTGTGCAGGTATCTGTCAACTGCATCAGGCCCCCAACGGGGGAGTTTTATGACAAAAACCATCACTAGCCCAAGTGAAACCAATGCATTTCCTCAGGTGAATTTAGCTGCTTGAAAACCAGGCCAAAACCACAACTTTCTGCCAAAAAATTTTGAGCCTTGTCTTTTGTCTTGTACTTGACTAATCCTGGCTTATTCTGGGCACTCCCAAAGAGATGTCTCTACAAAATCTAAGAAAATAACATTTGTACTTGAAACAAGGCATCTTCTATCTTTTATTGAGAGATTAAAAATTGGCTCTGGCTGTTTGCTTTATGAGGAAAACAACTGTGATACTAAGAAAGTATCAGCTGCAAATTTCTCCAATGTTACTCTAATCTCAATCTCCAAGCTATTAACAATTATTTACAAGTTCCATCATCTCTGTGAACTGCACCAACAATACATCAGTAACAACAGAGAGGGCTGGGAGGCACTGAACTTCATGGCACAGTCTCACTCTGGCACCTGTGGTTAAACTACAGAGACTTTTCTACGTCCCATCGCAGACACCCGACTCCGACACACCAAAGAGTGGGTCACCAAGATGCAGGACAGATCGAGGTGGCACCTGCCCGCGCTTACAGGCGGCTACAAGATTATTAACTGCATCAATGCCCTTTGTAATAAAATACATGTCGAGCAATGAAAATTCTTCCTGTCTTTTAGCCTTGTATTCTCTTGCTATAGTGGGAACAGCTCTCTGACACTGCTACACACCTGCCACAGGCAGCACTGAAGGCAGGTGGGTGTCTGGGCGCTGAGGCGTAGAGCTAGAGACAGGAACTTCTCAGCCGGTGCCAGCGGGATATCTTTGTTACCAAGGTTAATCTAATCTGAGCTTTTGTTTATGGAAAGAAACAACCCTTCGAGATCAGTTGGCTGGCACCGAGTCTGGTGGACTGAACTCAGAACAAACCAAACACGCTGGGGTAGGAGACCCGTAGTAATTCTCTCCTGTGGTGTGACCAGGAGACTAAAGGCAACAGGTACCCACATGTCAGAAAAATGTTACCAAATCCTGAAAAGATTAAATTATAAAGTCACTCCATAATGCTGGTGTTTTGTTTTCCCACAAGACTACCCCTCTCATTAAATGTGATTACCTACCTATAACCCACCTTGCTTTAAACACGCCTCTGACAAGCTACATGAGGTATTTCCGGAGAGCAGACCCATTGCTTACCGTCTGAGGCAGTGCAGCGCGATGCCAGTTCCCAGAGGACTAATCCCATGGCGTACATATCTATTCTCAGAAAAGCATCCCTTTGGAAGTTTATAGCACCTTCTAGTACCTCGGGAGCCATATACCTTCGCGTTCCAACCTTGAAAAAAGTCGAAAAAACACACCAGAAAGCATAAACATTTGTACAGTAAAAATCTACATAAGCACAACTATCACTCCAGCTGGCACCAACTGTAACAATACAGTAGACTAGAACTACTTTTTGTCATAGATTAAAAATAGCCATGGTTATCCTTGCTTAGGACTAAGTCCTGCAAGTTTCTTACATCCTTGCATCCAACAGCAGGTAAGGCCAAGCATATTTTAAAATAACACATTTGCATAACAATTCAACAGATTCCTCACTGCCAGTTCTTATTTTATCCACTTGATCTTGGGGAAGATGTTGCTGCTCACTGCAGGGCAGTTGGACCAGATGACCTTTAAAGGTCCCTTCCAACCCAAATCATTCTATGATTCTTCTCCAGAATACAGAAGGCCACATTTTTCAAGTCATTCTCATTTTTTTCATTTTGCTGTGACAGGAACAGGAATAAAAATACCAAAGGGAAAGTAGCTACCAAAGCGCTGTTTATAGCAAGAGAGTTGTACGAATCACTTGCACAAAACCAGCTGTATTAAATGAAAACTTTGTGATATCCACTCTTTCACACCACAGTCAATAACAAAATTACATCATCTGAATAAATCAGAACCTATATGATGCCTGAAAAAGATCTACTCTACAATTTACACCTTTGCAGTAATAACAGTGTTTCTCTTGAGCAGTGTTACTGAGGTTTTATAATCTTATTGTAAGGATTTTATTTTTGCGACTTGACCATAAACTGTGAAGTTCTGCCTGAAATGAAATATATTTAGATTTCCAGAAACCGCAATGCTCCAAAGCTCAAGGTTGTTATTTTAGAAGCACATGGCACCAGAACAGTTCCCTCTTGTACGACAAGTGTCGGACAACGCTGGTGTCGTTGCAGGCAAGTGACTGTTGCTGGGTCAGAAAGCCAGTATCATTCCTCAATTCCTGAACAGTATCTCAGAACAATAAAAAAAAATCCAGAGAGACAACTCTTTCCTGCCCAAATCCTCTAGTAAGAACGACATCAGGGCAGGGAGAGAGGCCACGGAGTAAGATGGGGGTGGTGGAGGCTGTGATCTGTAATTATCTAAATTATTTAATTTTCAGCCTGTGAGAAAAGCACAAATTACCATTTTCCTTAAAGGTCACTGCAAGCAGAGTTGATGACAGAGTACCCCCTGCATGCAGAACACCTGAACGACTGTTTTCCATTCACATGCAGTTAACAGTTTTATCGTTTATGTAAATAAATTGGTATTTACCTGTCCGTGTGTATCCCCGGCAGACTTTCCAGCCTCAAACTTTAAAGCTAGACCAAAATCAGCTATACAAGCTGTAAGATTATTTTTCAGCAGCACGTTCTTGCTTTTGATGTCCCTTTCAAGTTAAGGTAGAAAATAAATTAGAGATCTAGAACATGAAATACCATATAAAGCTCTCTGGAAAAAAAGTAATACAATAAACCAGAATGCATTATAATGTGAAAGACAATGAAAATCATAAAGAAGCAGCCCATTTAAACAACATAAAAGAAGAAGAAAACCTAAGAGTGTGCTTGCACACCTTGATTCTTGTGGGAATACGTAAAACTGCAACTAGAACTATGATTTTATGCTTAGTTTCAAAATAAATGAATTTATAAGCATATATGATACAGGAACAGAACAACAATGCAATTATTGCCTACTTTAAAAACAACTGTATTTGGTTTGTTTAAATAACAGGAAGCAAAACACCTTGAAAAAACAACTCTTGGTGGTTTTTCACAGGGACATACACAATTTCCTGCAGAAACAAAAGATCCTGGACTCAATCCAGGGATTCCCATCTGTCCCACTCATACCTTTACCATCAGTCAAACAGTTTTGCTGATGAAATTCCACATTCTCCAGAATCTATATTTCTCTTATTCTATACGCCTATCTTTTATTTTGGCTACCACTATAATTTCAGCTCTCTACTTTTATTAACAGCTTTCTATACCTACCTCATTAAAAAAACCAAACAAGAGCAATTACACTCAACAACAGGCAGAACACCACTTACAGTAAATGCCTGTCTGAAGGCGTTTGGAATTACTTAAGTGTTATGTATGTGTTTGTTTCAAAGAGCTATAAATGCCACTTATTCCATATACTGCAGAGGGTACTTAAATAATTAATTGCGTAAAAAAAGAATTTATGACATGCGCCGCAATCACCACACCAAGCTCTCTAAAATCATCAGCTAGGTTTTTGCTCAGGCTGAGATTTTTCTTATGAGGCTCTCAGTAATTCTGGAACTAGCAATTATTTAAATATTTCCCACGTGTTGTATCCTTTAGCTCCAAGTGAAATCCCAACGATCACCCACAAAAACCTCATATGTATACGATACCTATGTGAGATGGCAGGTTTGTGTCCATCTTTCAGGCCCGGTATATCCTCGTGAAGATAAGCCAGGCCTCTGGCCATAGTCTGAGCGATGTGACAGAGCTCGTTCCAAGAGACCACGTTAGCCTTGAGAAAGTCCGTTAAGGAGCCCTGCAGATCAAACCAGGGAAGCAATTACAAGATCAATTCCATCCTCGTCTGCTAATCAAGAAAACTTCTAGATGGCCTCTGTCAGTAAAGAACACGATATGCCTGTCTGCCTTTATGTCTTCTGATAGACCATGTAACTACAAGCGGATGTTCACAAACAACTGGGGCAAAAAAGGACAAAAAACTTCATCTCTCATCCCCAAATAGAATCAAGATGTGTCTCCCCATCACCTCAATGAGCAAACGGGGTAAAGCTTGGTGGCACGCTCAAAAATGGCCGTGCTTAATGGTTGGTGTCAGAAAGGGTTGCTACACATGAGATATTTAAACTCTTTCCAAAGACAATCCCGCTGGTACAAGCATGATTTGACATCTTCCAGGCACAGGAAATTACAAGTTTGATTTGCCTTCACGAATCTCACTGAACTGCATATGATGATTCTTTGGGACCTTGAATTCAGTCTCTCTCTCCTTATGGACCAACAACAATAACCTCCAGTTTCACAACACAGTTTCAGAGTGAAACACACGCTCTGAATAAATATAGATAACATAAAGTAAAAATTATTCAACATAAAGCTCTTCCAACTTGCTTCTACAGCCTGCTCTGCACAGACACTTTCAGGGATTTACATATTATGCAGTTTGTGAGATGTCACGGTGTCACACATTGCCGTGTAAAAAGCCAACACAAAAGGGATGAACAACGTGCTGTCAAAGTGTAGAGGCTACACTTCAAAAATAATTAAAAAATAAACTATTTTATTTTAATCAGTTAGAGTCATCTCAGATGCCACCTTTCCAACAGCAACAAGATTTTTAAAACTCTTAGATAAAAAAAATAATAAAAAACTGGCAATAACCTTTCAGAAAGGGGAATTAGTCTGATATTACCTACTTGATTGTGAAGATCTCACAAAAATTTTAAATGGATAGTTTTAGTCTTCCAAATTATTAAAGCAGTGGCATAAGTGGAACAAAAATGCCAGAATGCAGAATGTAACATTCCACACTGGAAATAGATTCTATGACCCAGCCTTAATACCCTGGCACACCCATACTATACAGACTTTTATTTTCTCAAATCTGCTACAGGTAACATCTTCCTAATGTGCCAGTGCTGCTCAATTTGCCTGTGCCAGTGCTGCTCAATTCAAGTTTGGGTTGCCTTTTTATTTCCTCTCTTTGAGCTTATATCTTCATGACAGTTACAAAGATTTTTTTTTAAAAAAGAAGTATCTAAGTTAATCACATAAATATATGTTTCTTCTTGTGGCTAGCACAGTAGAATTGATACATATTACTTAATTCTTGCAGACTCAAATTGGTCAAAAATAAACCACCACAACCTCTGCAAGATAAAATCTATTTATTTCAGGCAGGTTTAGATGCAGGATATTTAAAAATACACCTTGTAAAAAGCAAAAAAATTGCAATTAATTTTTGTTTGTTTTTTGAAACAACTCCTGTAAGTAAAAGACTGATGACAAGTTTGTTAGCTGGCTGAAAATAAATAAATTCATATCAAATGAAGAGACAAGCTAAGAGTAAGCAAAATCTATTTCATTTTTTTTAAGCTGTCTCAGGATCTACAACAAATTTTTAAGGGTGTTCTTCCTCTGCTATAATCAGAAAAAAAAATAAACTACAGTGAGAACTACCCATACCTTTTCATGAAAGGCTGTAATTAACCAGAGATCAACATCAATGCTAGTGCCTCGCTTCTCTGCCCCAATGAACTGCAAAATATTGTCGTGTTTCATTCCAGGCAAACTGTAAATTTCATATTCGTTCTGCCACGACTGTTTGTCCTGTAAATAACAAAAACCAAAACACAAACCAAGTTACTACCGTAAGGATGTAAATGGAAGGTACTTTCCCAGACAGAAGTTTCCTCCTACAATTTACTGTGACTTGTAAATCATTTGTCAAAATGACTAAAACTCTTTTTTTGGCAAGCCAGGATTCACTACCTAAAGGAAAGCAAGCATAGCGTGTGCTGTTAAAATCATGATGCTGATTACTTAAAAACTACAAGTGTTTAGACTACTAATGGCATTTGTGCTACAAACTACTGACCTAATACATACACAAATAAGACACTGCCTTTCTTCACGTATAGTGAAAAAGCAACTGAAAAACTTGAATTTGTGAAAACTCCCTCAGCTATCACAGATACAAAACACGACAACACACCAACCTGTCGGTTAGGATTCATGTCTATGCAATTCAAAGCATTACAATTGCTTTTGTCTTAAGAGCATGGTGCAATTTCTGTATTTTATAAATCTACAAGAACCCCACAAAGAATTAGAAAGTGGTTTTGCTCCGTTAAAAATAACAAAGTCTCAGATTTTAGTTATGTTGTGCAGATGGCTGAAACCAGCACAAGTACATTCCATTTCTCCTCGAATAGTAAGAACCTGCTGATATATTTATCCAGCAAGTCAACACTCAATTAATTGTCAGAAAACACAAGCACCTTTCTTACCTCAAGTACCAGTGCGTGTTTCCAGTTAGTGTAAAATCTATTGTAATAGCTTTGTGTATGATCCCCTTGTATTCTTTTAACTAGGCCAGATTATGTGCACAATCTATCCTAAAACATGACTTTCAGAGGGTACTTGCTGGGAAGTACATATTATTTCACTTAATTGAGGCACATTTAATTGGAACAATTACATTATAGGCTTGCATTTCAGGACATTCCTTCCAAGTACAATTCAGTTCAAAAAATGTTAACAAATTCTTCTCAACTGATCAAGAGATGTGTGAGAGTCATTAAAACTATTCATGTCCAATACATACTTTTATTACTAGAAATATAAAGAAATTTGGCAGTTTGTTTCAAGAATATGCTTGCTGTATTAAAATACTTTTTAAAAGTCAATAAAACTCCAAGTGTTTTTTTTTCCCCAGCTCAAGACATTTCTATCTAGATTTATAGCATATACTGAAAATTCTCTAAAATAAAAGCCTCTTACTGTGACTAAAAAAGCTGGTTTAACATTACAATATATTACGTTATGATAGCAACACCGGATGCTGTGAGCTTCTGCTTACCTGGATAGGGAATATTTTGACTGCAACATACTCATTCAGTAGCTGAGCTTTCCATACGCAACCAAATCTTCCCCTGGCTTTGATCTCTAGTAACTGCAACGGCTTCAAACCCATCAATGGTGAAGGTGGTGGTGGTCCAGGATCCTGCAATCAGGTTAAACCCATTAATTACTTTTGCTATTATACGTGCTGTCTATGATGACAGCACTAGAAATCAAAGGTTTGTAAACTGGAAGAGACTCACATGGTGTACCCAACCCCCACGACTTGCAACAAATTCCCCCAAACAAACCAGAAATAAAACAACCACCCTTCTCCACAGGAAAGAAAAAATGAGATTGTAAAACATGCTCAGAATGTGCAAGCAACAGCATAACAACACTTACAGTATAAACTTGTCTAACTAGGCATAATAGCACAGCAGAAATCAAGGAATAAAGACAATCAAGCTTTATCTGTCACTTTAAGAGTGACTTTTGATATATTTGAGGCGGTTTTTGGTTTTTTTTTTTGTTCGATGTACATGTGACGTGTTTAATGGCCTGAAGAAAACACTGAACCACATGCACAGTGCAGGCGTTTGGAAACCAAACATCATCATCATCATCACCATCTTTGCAGTCAGCCCCCCGAGCCCCTCGACTGGTGGTATGAGGAACCACAGCACCGCAGTGTCAACCTACCAAGATCCACTTCTATTGCTCCCAACTTCTGCTAACGCAGACAGCCAACACGTTACCGAAACCCGAGTACTTGGCTGTACCCCAGAAACAGAACTGGAATTAAATGTAACAGATTATCTCATCATATATTACAGTGTCTGCACTTTACTGAGGGGCCAGCTCAAAAAACTCCTTTTCAAACACGACAGCGCAAGCTGGGAAGTACAACTGCAGGTAAGATAAGAGCTGCCACATGGCTATCGACACAGCCACTGATCTTACTACAGAGCATGAAACATACTCTGTGCCATACACATCCCCTGAACACAAGTAGAGATTCAGCTTCATTGCCCAAGACATGCTTCTTTCCTAAACTTTCTTGATTCTCAAAGATCTACCACCTAAGACTGGTTTCTCCTCTACCATGAACAAACGCATCTGACCCATTTACATTTGCCCCTGCATCTAAGAATTTTACTCTATTCACAGACCCAGAGAAACACCACCTCTTCTGTCCGATCCCCGTTTCCTGCAGCAAAGTAAGTCCAGTTCTGGCGTGCAGTGGTCTCTAAGCAGAAGGACTGACGCTGTCACCGCGAGATAAAGCTCCACCTTCCTTCCACACCCCTCAGAATTAGTTTAATTTGTCCACCAGTCCCACTCACTACAGAGAATTGCAAAGGTCAATGCCAGTGATGGCAGCATGGGGGCAAATTGCTGGATCACGGATGGGAAGTGGGTGAGCAGCTGCTTCTCATGCCAGTGCAGGCCTACGGAGACCTCGACTTTCAGTATTAGAGAGTAAAGAAAAAACACAAAAAATGAAAGGTAGGCTTTGCTTTTAAACGATCTCCACTCTGCAGAATACAACAAAAAACTCCCTAAAAGTCTATCGTTCAAAAAAGTCTCCAGAACACGCACTTGGCTCCTCTCTCTCTTCCCAGTCACGGCCGTAACGCTGTTTTAAAGAGAAAGAATGAAAAACACTGGAGTAGTTGCTTCTACGAGGCAAATGAGAGTACTCGATAGTTAAGTATTCGAGCTCTTCAGTTCCCACCATAACTCTTGTGTGTGTTAAAGGCATTTTCTGAGCAACTGTGCTTTTAAGTATACTTTACTATTGCGAGAACAGAGACAAGTGCTCCTCCATCCAGCACAAGTTTTCAGTAGTTCAAGCGCAAGAATAAGCAACCACTCTCACTTCTTTCAACTTTTTTCAACAATGTATCCTTCAAAACACATGGGTCATAGACGTACAGCAATTCAGAGAAACTTTAATTCCACAAACTGCTAACTGTAAAAGAAAAGCGTTTGAAATTCAAATTGGAGACACGCTACAATGCTATCCTTAAAACAAGAAGTATGAAATCCTTTCACTAATATGACAGCAACAGATGCTCTAAAGTTGCTGCATCAAGATTGCTGGGTTTAAACTGGACAAACAATACAGAAAATGAAGTTTAAGAGCTAAGTTTTCCCTCCCATGCTGCCTCTCATTCCATGCCAAAGCCCTTTACGAATATTTCAGACACAGGGGAAATCGCTGTCCTCAATTTGGAAGTTACGAGTGAAACCAGAAACAAGATGCCTGAATTTACTCACAAGAACTTGCTTTAATTGGTAAAAAAAAAAAAATAAAAAATCCTGCTATTTTTAAGAACGCTGCACACAGCGTAGCATCTCAGGATTTAACATCAGGCAACAAACTTTAAAAAAAGTTTTGAACCCAGTGATTTGCCTGAATTAAGAGAACAATTTGTGGGAAGTAAACCCAAACCTCTGGCTGCTTTAGGGGCTACAACAACTCCCCTTCCTTTCCATATCCTTCATCCAAAAAAATCTGCCAGTATTTTGAGTTGCAGTATGTGACTTTTTTTTTTTTCCTCAGCCATCAAGCAAATGACCACTTAATATTTCTCAAAGACTTAATTCAAAGAATTACAGCATCTATCGCAGTAACTCTCCAATCAAAAGTGGCTGGGAAAAATTGGTGCTTCTTCACCTTAACATTAGACCACGATACTTCTCATGCACCTGAATTTCCTACTTCCTAGAAAGTCCTGGCAGTTCAAAACATTTTCCCCACTACCTTATACAGCAACCTCTTGTGGTTCCCTCCACATCTCCCTTTTGTGTTGAAAGGTTTCCACAAAGTCAAAACTTCCAGTGTTCTTATGAAGAAGAAACACACACCCACAAATCAAGGCAAAGTCTGATTTAAAATGGAAAGTATAATTGCCTTCTATTAGCTTCACTAGAAAGAATACTTTTCTAGTTTTTTTTCCTTTTTTCCTCCCCTCAAACTTTGTTAAAATCAACAGGCATTTATTCTAAAGCTATAGGTACTACTTTTACACAGAAACATTCCTTGACAATATTTTCAACTTGCTCTACTTCTAAGCAAAAACATTTAACATGCCACGGGAAAAATTTTTGCGCAGCTTTTGAAAAATCATCTCTGTGGCGCCAAGGACGATGATATAATGTGAGCCCGGATATAATGTGGATATATTAGTCCAACAGCTTGTTGCAGCTGTCAAAAAATAAGGACCCAGTTTCCCGTTCCTGAGCTTTCTCTGTCCCTTCCCTCGGGCTGATTCTGGTACTTGTCTGACCACACAGCAAATCAAGGCAATGCCTTCCATTGCCAGAAAGCTTTTTATTTATTTATTTCAATCCCCTAAGTTTGGGTTGTATGGTCATCTCAAATTCAGGGATATCTAGTTATGTTGTACACTTCAAGGCCTTCCAATCTCCAACTGGGCTTTTTTGGGGGGGGATGTACTGATTTTTATAGCTGGGAGTTGCAGTCAACAGTGAGGTAGCACACACTGGTCATACTGGGAAAAGAACAGAGGGGAAAATATTCACTGAGGAACAGCAACATCCTGAAAGAGGTTTCCTAAGCGTCTTCAAGAATGGTTCTCAAGCTCAGAGAGCAGCTTAACAAACAGGAAACTACAGATCCATTAAGAATACGACCAACTGAACAGATCATCCAACTGAACAGATCATTTGAAGACCTGCCTCAGCACAGTCTGTCAGCACTTGAGTTTCTCCTCAGTCCAAGCGAATCAGGTCATTCATACAACAAAAGGAGAAAAGGACTGATTATCCAAAAGACTGGTTATCCAAACAGGATTGTACACAGATGCATTTCTCTTTCCTAATTCCAAAAGATAAACAAGTTTGCAAACTTCCACAGCGCATGTTACATGTATTTCCTCTTGGTCACATCTACTCTGCAGCTTCTGTTGTGAACATGTTTGACACGTTCTCATTGAAAGAGTTGAACAATTCTTGTTTTTTTCCTCCCTTTCTAGTTCAGGATTGGTTCATTTTCAACCAAATGATCTGTAAAGTTAAGTTCCAAATACATTAAAAGGCTAGCATTTTTAAATTTTGTAATTATTCCAAAATTAACTGATCTACATCAAACCACACTTCTTTTAGATGGTGACAATTCTTCTCTTTTCCTGCCCACAAAATCCTCTATTTTATTGTACAATCCAAACATATTCCCCAAAGTAACATGAACAAAGCAGTTACTTGTAGGATACTTCAGCTTCTTCCCTAACTGGAATTATGGCATTTGAAGCAAACCGGAAATCCAAACAGAACCCTGGTAACACTTGTCAGATGCAAGATATTCAAGAAAATATTTAAACAGCGCCATCCTACTTTCTTTTAAATTACATTTACAAGACATTTTAGCTATTACTTAGAGACCTATGGAGGCAGCAGAAATTGAACATTCATATTACTACTCAAATTGTGACTTTTTCAATGTCCAATTAAAAAACCTAGCATTAACCACACAAGCCTCTGAATTAACAGTTTTCAGTTACCGGCAGTCTCACATGAAGAATCAGTGATTTAATAACAAGTAAAAATAACTTCTGGCCAGCAAGAAAGTCAAAGTGGTGACTTAACAGGGAGAGAATATGTTTTTTTTTTTTCTTTTAAATCAGCTAATCTATTTCTCCAAGCTCCTGACTTGCATGAAACCCCCATCACGTCACCCAGAAATCACAATGTGGAGACCACACAGTGGTGACGGATGGTTCAGGGGTGGGAGATGGCAACAAACACCCACAGGCAGGACAGAAATGGGCGGACGGCTGTGTCTGCTCCTGGCGCAAACCCCGGCAGCGGGACGGGCGGCTGTTTGCTATCCCGGGCTGGGAGCGACACAAATGAGCTCACCTGGAGATACAGAACCACAAAACTGGCTACACTCGGTACATTTTGTTATCAATCCAGATATTTATCCAGATTTTTTTAACTGCTCAGCCTAAGAAGCTAGAGTAAATTTGAAGAAAGCTACGGACAGCAGGCTAAATCAGTATTTTTTTCTTTTTTAAACCACGCATGCTTATAAATTTCCCATCCCAAATACTGAGAAAAAATAAATAAAAATAAAATAAAATGTAATTCATACCAAAACAACTAGTTACATGTCCACAGAAAAGTTCCATAACC